GATTCCCAGATTTTTCTTTGAATTAAGAGCAAAACATTAAAAGCGGCATGGGCGTGTTAGCGTAGACGGCAGGGATATTTGCGGAATGTTAGACCATGAATGACAAAGGTACCTGATACGGATTGCGCCTTTTTTCCCGGTAGTTAACAAGAGCAGTAGACTGTCGATTGCAAGTCGCTTGGGCCTAGTGTTGAGTAGCGGCAAATGTTCAAAGTAAAACTAATCACTGATTTTTATTGAGTCAATGAAGAAACCAACCCAAATTGTTTTCCGGAGAAAAGGCAATGTAAGCATAAATTAAGCCTAAAATATTGAATCAGCGAGTTTGGCAAGATAAATGTCTTATTACGATAAAATTGTCGACGTTAAATATTAGCAGTCATACAGAGAAAACGATAGATGATAAGAGCAGCTATTGTTAGGACTCGGATAGATTTTGTTTAACAGACGGTACACGCATGATATATGTCAATGAAGACTTCTCTTTTTCACCTTTCTTCTTCATGTTAGGGCATTTAGTGGGCCTTGGTGCGGTTTTAGAAACCACACCAGGGCCGACAATCTACACTGACAAGGCCCGACCAAAAGAGCAGAAAATGCGAACGGCTCGTAGCTCAAATAATTTATTGATGCAGCGCTGTGTGTGTACAAGATAACAAGTACGCGTTCATATAGCCTTGCTAAACGTCGATACCTGAACGAACATAGTTAGGTGAAGTTCATTCACGTAAATCAATTGAATAATGTTTGTTCGCGTGCTGCTCACCACAGGCACATGTACTCTGCATTCAACAATATGCAACGCAATCATTCAAATGTATGATTTCCACCCACACACACTAGTAATTTTGACAGCTTTTTCAATGACAAATTCAAGCAGTCACTTTAGCCACCTACAAACGATCAGTATGATTAAATTAAGCATTTGCTCTTGACAAGTTGGACGCATATTTTGTCTAACAATAAAGTTATGCATGTTAGTATAATTGATCACCAAGAATGTCCCTATTTTACTAAATTAGCCCATCATCTAAAACCACAGCATTCACTTTTTTGGAAATAGCATTTAACCAATCATTACTCAACCTGTGTAACCTCAAAAATTGAATCAGTTTTCAAGAATGCACCCTGTGCAGAGATTTTCGTATGTAACCTACCGTCCAATAATGCAAACTTTAGCCCGCGCAGATTATTGACGCCAGTGCGGTTTCAGAACAAGATCCAGGCCTTTGCAATGGTCACTCCATTTGTAACATTTGAAAGTAAGGCTTTATTTATTCCTTGCCTGACTACATTTTTTCGACGAAACATTATTTTCTAATAGAAGCGTCCATATTAGTTGTATAAAATAAACTATTTAATACTAACGGCGTACAACATTTCTCTAGAGTAATTTTTTTCATTCTGGATAACTTTGATACGTTACTTAATGTTCCAAATCTTCTGATGCGTTTCTAATCCTGCAAGTCTATCTTTTATCGTTTAGGCACCAGTTGTTTTTACTCGGCAATCTCTACCTAACAGACCGTTCTAACCCGAAAAGTAGCCAATTAAAAAAAGGTTGAGTCATCGGTAAACTCGGACCATCATACATGCATTACTCACGCAAAATGGCTTTCGGTCCACTAAAAACTAGCAAAAGTACAAACGCCTGAATAGTCATTCCTATAAAATTGGAATGAGGTTTTGAAGAGAGGTGAATGATCAGTAGGCACCGCATGACTGGCAAGCACGCTGTGAAAAGGATATCATGCGAAATTTATCGATAGTTTGAATTCATTCCATTTTTCGATGTTCTTTCAGGAAATGACGTCAAGCCTTTCAATAAAAGTTGACGCCATTACCACTTATAGTATTTGCACTCTTGCGAACACTATATATAGCTACGCATATGCATTTCGTGTTATTTCTATTATGAGTACTTCGTGATGTGTCAAGTTACACCAAATGAAGTATCACGTATACTTGCAATTAATTAGTCTAGGTTTAAGCTACTGCTGTACCTAACAAGGCAAAAGCGAATATTTTACAGAGATTGCCAAGGCTTTATTATGAAATGATGAAATGTTCAATGATGTAGCTGAAAATCTTCATTAACATGTGTCAGTCAAGTCTGAAATTTTACTAAGTTCCAACTCTAAAGCTATATTTAAGCTGGGAGTTGCGCGGGTATTGCCAAGTATTTTTTATTTAAAATGCCTCATTTCGCATCCAAGTGTCCTCGAACTGAAAGGTTTGTGTGACTTTTAACATGAGTTAATTCGCTGCTTATTTAATTTGAAAAAGCGCATTTACGCAGGATCATGTCAATGCGATTAAATATTTCTAAAAAAGCCTACTGGTTAAAAAATTTGCATTTGGCTTATTGAAAGGCAGAACGGCGGTATTCCATTTTGTTATGCCGCGGTATGTAAACTAAGATAGTGCAGGTGAACGTCTTTTATGAAGCCCAGACAAGCAGCGAATAATCTGTTTGCTAATTTTCGTTTATATTAACAAACAGAAGTAAGCAAGTCAGTGGCATCAAGAATATGTGCAGCGTTAAAAATAAAAACCTTGAATGATAACACAAATCACCAAATACGAATATTAAGATGCAATTAAAATTGTTGGTAGTGATCATAGCATAAAAGTAACAATAATATAAAGTCACATGCAAATTGGGGCTTCAATTGTCAATTTTTTGCTTCTCTTGCATACGCTTCATCTTTTACGTATCCATGTTATGTTTCTATAAATGCATTCTCGTATTGTATCTCTGATATGTGTTGGGCCATTTACGCGCTCACTTTCGACGACTCTAGATGACTTGTTTATTTTTAATATAGCAATCCCAATTTACTTGCTTTTATTTCCAACTGGCTCTTGCACTAACTAAATGTCAGTCTTTTTTTTCAGGACTCCACTAACACTCCGCGCGTATATAACTCATCCGCTCCTTACAACAAGTTACATATTTTGATTTATCTTACGTTCCAAATTGTGGTATTCAATGCTTAGGAATATGCAAGATTCACGATTATGACAACTCTCTGTAGAAAAGTAATTGAATCGTTGATCGCCATCCCGGGCATCTACTATGGCGACGCCCCGTGTAACCACGTCGTAAAGGTGTGGAATACCTGAGCCATGGTATGAATAAGGCTGGCTATGATGATTAATCAAAAACTGGTACAGCACAGAAGGCGCCATCAACCTGATCAACAGAGATGACTGCGTCATTAATTCATTCTGCTGAATTCTGACTTGTCTCGGGTTGGCTGCTGGTATTCCTAAGCGTGGTCAACATGTTAGCGTTCTAGAGCGTCACGAGCGAAAATATCGAGCCCTAGCATGAAAAAGACAGAAAAGAACTTAACAGGCTTTATTGACAAATCACAAGCCAAAACCACACATCAGGCGCCTTCTATTCGAGTCCACCACGCTGGCCATGCCGCTCATTATATACTGCATCTCAGTCGTGTCCTTCTCTGGTTGGCTGCTTATCTTCCTCGCACGCCATTGGAACGCAGAGGGACACGGAATTGGCTGCGATCAGGTGGCCCAACATGTCTGCGCCCTGATCCGACACCGCTGTAGAATACCCGAGCGATAATAGGAAAAGACCGGTACAACAGAACAGGCTTTATTGACCAATCAGAAGCCAGAGCCACGCGTCAGGCGCCTTCCATCCGAGTCCACCACACTGGTCATGCCGCTCATTATATACTGCTCCTCAGTCGTGTCCTTCTCTGGTTGGCTGCCTTCCTTTCCCGCATGCCATTGGATAGCAGAGAGACACAGGATTGGCTGAGGCCAGGTGGTCCAATATGTCTGCGCCCTAATCCGACGCCACACCACACCTCACCACACCGCAGCCGCAACGCACCACACCACACACCACATAGCTTCAGCACATGTTTCAAGTTACCTGGTACTGAAAAATGGGGAATTTTATTATAAGTGCTTGCAGCTATAACACTAAAGGATGTAGTAATAGCTTGGCAGCTATTTATTAGGGGGAGCTTATGCGCCTCTAATCAAGGTGTTTTGCTTTTCTGTTGATCTGAAATTTTTGTACCTGGTAATTTTTATGATAATAAAGATGTTAACACGTTTCTGTTGCTTTCGCTATATAGTATTGATATGGTTGACACGAATTTTCCGAAGCTTTTCTATTTGTGCAGGTGTTCATTTTCTTTATTAAATGTCTGCTTGTTCAATAAAAATATCTTTTACAAATTTTGCTATCATCGCGTAATTGTATTTTTTAATTTTTTGTCTGGTTTGATTTGTTATTAGCCGTAAATCGTAAGGCATGGAAATTTCATTCATTATCTTAAGTTGTCAGGGAAATGTTTTTAAGCTGTTTTTTTTCTCGAACATTTGTTGCTATCCATTAAAGAATACCATAGTTTCACCCAGTGTTGAAAATTCAGATTCTACCTCTGGGACTGTGGTTCTGATATTAATCAAATTCGCAATGTTTGATAAATCTGTAAAAAAACTTAACTAGTGTATACCTCAGGCAGCCAACAAACGTGTTTGTTCGCAGTCTATGCAATATTTTCATCTAAATTAATGAATGCTTTAATTTCAGCTCTACTCATTGATGAAGGTAAGTCCTATAGTTTGTTAAAGCCACACATTTAAAAGAATTACATTCGGAAATGCCTGGATCTAAATCTCCTCTCCATAAGACCCGAGAATTGCCATGCCGTTATGCGGAAACCGGAGCCAACGGCACAAAATATTGTAATCGAGTTTAGGTAAGACTCCCTACATAATCTACCTGAACCACAGGGTGATTGAGAATCACATTTTTAAGAAAATATTTGGCCAACTTATGTTACTTTACTAGTACATCATTGTCCACGATTCACTACATGATTCTAACATTTACTAGTAATTATCCGTTTTTTATCAGTTGAATGTTTGAATTTTTATTAAGCTCAATACGCGTAGGGCTGTTAGAAAGAACTTGATATTTCAGCTCACCAAACATCGCCAAGCCAATGCACATGGGCCACTTTCGTGCTACAGTTGTGGGAAATTTTGTCAAGAATATTAATCTTGCTGCCGGAAACCGTGTGACTGCCATTAATTACCTCGGAGATTGGGGAACTCAACTTGGTAAGTGTGCGCACTTCTCCACTATCCAAAAATAGTTATTCCACACGCATTCACATCCACTTTGGGTAGAGCCATTCTTTACTTAATCAGTCGTTCTATATTTTAGTCATCTAAAAGCGTTTTGTTTTTAAGCTATAAACTAGCGTTTCTTGAAATCAGTAGCAGTGAGTGAATCAAGTAGAAATGCTAGATAATTCAAATATTAAATATGTTGCGGCTTTTGCGCTTAGTACCTGTGTTAAGAGTCCAGGATTTTCATCCACTCAACTCATTGTGTCTGTGCACCCGTTCGTGAGAGTATAAAACACCTCTGTCTTCATCGCTTAATTCCTAAACTCACTTGCTTAACAATTTTTTATTCAGTTCTTATTTCTTTTTATAGGAATGCTCTGTTTGGGTTATAGCCACTTTGGTAACCCCCATCTGCTTGAAACTGACCCTTTAAAACACCTTCATTCGGTAAGTCTGAAAGATATAAATGTCATCTTATCCTATTGACGTATGCACCAACAATCAGCCTTGAAAACGTGCCGTTAAGTACAATGCTTAGTTATATGCACTGTGCCTCAAAATTTGTTAGTTCGACTACTTCACATAGTTTTGGAGTTTTAATGTAAATTTTATAATCGCGATATGCTTTAATTCGCAGGTTTACGTGCGGGCATGTCAGTCATTTGGTTCTACGGACGACGGAATGACAGACGCATCGTCACTTTCAACGGCTCTCGAGACAGGCGAGAGACCCGACCTCGTCACACTCTGGTCCAAGTTTCGCAGCTGCAGTATTGAGGAACTTAAGCGCCTCTATGCGGTAGGTCCTTCCACTCCTGTTGTTCTCCTAACTTGTGAGCCTTCGTGCATCAATTTTTTAATACTCCACAAAGCAAACTTAATGCAGTCAAAACGTTCGCCGATAGGACTAGCCATCCGCGTGATGTGTCCTGCATTAGTAAGCCCTATAAGATGCTACATTTGCAT